ATTAGTATTGAATGGCCATTCAGCTTCAAAGCCTGGCTGCTTCCTGCCTGGAGGAATCCTTTGTTGGGAGGTGTTAGCTGGCCCTGATTGTTTTCTGTCTGGAATTCCCCTGTTTTTTGAGTGTTGCTCTTTATTTACTGAACTGATTTTGGAGTTTTTAAATACTAGTAGGAAGTGTGAATGTTTCAATTGGCAACCTTGATTAGTATTGAATGGCCATTCAGCTTCAAAGTCTGGCTGATTCCTGCCTGGGGGAATCCTTTGCTGGGACGTTAGTTGGCCCTGTTCGTTTCCTGTCTGGAATTCCCTCGTTTTTTGAGTGTTGTGTGTGTTGCTCTTTATTTACTGTCCTGATTTTGGAGTTTTTAAATACTGGTAGGAAGTGTGAATGTTGCAATTGACCACCTTGATTAGCATTGAATGGCCTGGACGTTTCAAGGGAGTTCATTCTCCCACCCTGGACATCATTCCACAGATATATAAATCCTATTTTCCTAGTTTCCAACAGACCCCTCATCCTCTGAAGATGCCTGCCATAGATGTGGGCGAAACATCAGGAGAGAATGGGTTGTTGTAGGTTTTTCCAGGCTATGTGGCCATGTTCTGGAGGCAATTTTTCTCCTGACGTTTCGCCTGCACCTATGGCAAGCATCCTCAGAGGTAGCGAGGTCTGTTGGAAGTAGGAAAAATGGGTTTATATATCTGTGGAATGACCAGGGTGAGACAAAGGACTTTTGTCTGCTGGGGCTAGGTGTGAATGTCAGGAGAGAATGCTTCCGGAACATGGCCAGACATCCCAGAAAACTCACAGCAACCCACTGAACATTTTCCATTAAAAGGCAATAAGGAAAAGCAACTCTATCTTTAGTCAGGGAAAATAAGTTTACACTCAGTTTGTCTCTGGCAGCGAGGAAAAGAATTTCATGTGTGAGCAAAAATGTTGCCTTTTCCACCCGAGGTCATTCGGAGAGCTTTTTGCCAAACTTTTTCCCAAGACCAGAAGCTGGAAATGAAGACACCCAAGGGCTGAAATGGACATTCCTTGGACACTGAAATGGACTGGAAAGGACACTCTATCCTGGAGGCCAGGTTGGCCTCACTACCTCTGAGGATGCTTGCCATAGATGCAGGCGAAATGTCAGGAGAAAATGCCTCTAGAACAGTGTTTCTCAACCTGGGGGTCGGGACCCCTGAGGGGGTCGTGAAGGGTTGTCGGAGGGGTTGCCAAAGACCATCAGAAAACACAGTATTTTCTGATGGTCATCTGGGTTATGTGGAAAGTTAGCATTCTATCGTTTGTGAGGTTCAGAATGGATTGTAGGTGAACTATAAATCCCAGCTACAACTCCTTGGAGGGTACGAGAGACTGCTGTTGGGAGAGGTGGTGTAGCTCGCTCGTAACTCACGAATGTAGATGCAGTTTGACATGATTAGTTTGAG